ACTGCCAGGGTGGCAGATACAGCCCCGGGTGCCAGCCAGCCTTAACCCCGCCCACCGGGGTGCCTCCACACACGCGCAGTGCCACCTGCCTCTGTTTCACCCTTGGACATGCCACCCTCCCTGCCACCTGCCTCTGTTTCACCCCTGGAGATGCCACCTTCCCTGCCACCTGCCTCTGTTTCACGTATAAGATGGCACCCTCTCTGCCACCTGCATCTGTTTCACCCTTTGATGCCACCCTCCCTGACACCTGCCCCTGTTTTACCCAAGAATGCCACCCTCCTTGCCATTTAACTCTGTTTCACCCTCTAATGCCTCCCTCTTTGTCACCTGCCTCTGTTTCACCCTAGGGATGCCACCCTCCCTGCCCCCTGCGACTATTTCACCCTGGGAATGCCAGCCTCCTTGCCAAATGCCTCTTTTCACCCTGGGAAGCCACCCTCTTGCCACCTAAGTGAGTCTCACACTGGAATATCACCCTCCCTGCCACCTGAGTCTGTGTAACCCTGGGATACCTCCCTCCATGCCACCTGAGTGTGTCACCCTGGGATACCAACCTCCCTGCCACCTGAGTCAGTGTCACCCTGGGATACCTCCCTCCCCGCCACCTGAGTGTGTCACCCTGGGATACCACCCTCCATGCCACATGAGTCTGTGTCACCCTGGGATACCTCCCTCGATGCCACCTGAGTCTGTGTCACCCTGGGATACCTCCCTCCATGCCACCTTAGTGTGTCACCCTGAGATACCACCCTCCCTGCCACCTGAGTCATTGTCACCCTGGGATACCACCATCCCTGCCACCTGAGTCTGTATCACCAGGGATATCACCCTCCCAGCCACCTGAATGTGTCACCCAGGGATACCACCCTCCCTGGTACATGAGTATGTCACACTGGGATCCCACCCTCCCTGCCACTTCAGTCTGTGTCACCCTGGGATACCACCCTCTCTACTACCCGAGTGTGTCACCTTGGGATACCACCCTCTCTGCCACCTGAGTCTGCGTCACCCAGGGATACCAGACTCCCTGCCACCTGAGTCATTGTCACCCTGGGATACCACCCTCCCTGTCACCTGAGTGTGTCACCCTGGGATACCACCCTCCCTGCCACATGAATGTGTCACCCAGGGATACCACCCTCCCTGGTACATGAGTATGTCACCCTGGGATACCACCCTCCCTGCCACTTCAGTCTGTGTCACCCTGGGATACCACCCTCTCTACTACCCGAGTGTGTCACCTTGGGATACCACCCTCTCTGCCACCTGAGTCTGCGTCACCCAGGGATACCAGACTCCCTGCCACCTGAGTGTGTGAAACCCTGGGATAGCACCCTCCCTGTCACCTGAGTGTGTCACCCTGGGATACCACCCTCCCTGCCACCTGAATCTGTGTCACAATGGGATGCTTCCCTCTCTGCCACCCGACTGTGTCACCCTGGGATACCACCCTCCCTGCCACCTCAGTTTGTGTCATCCAAAGATACCACCCTCCTTCCTACCAGTGTGTGTCATCCCGGGATACCATCTTCCCTGCCACCTGAGTCTGTGTCACCCTGGGATACCACCCTCCCTGCCACATGAGTGTGTCACCCTGGGATGCCCCCCTCCCTGCCACCTGTGTCCGTGTCACCCTGGGATACCACCCTCCCTGCCACCTGAGTCTGTGTCACCCTGGGATACCACCCTCCCTGCCACATGAGTGTGTCACTCTGGGATGCCCCCCTCCCTGCCACCTGTGTCCCTGTCACTCTGGGATACCACCCTCCCTACCACCTGAGTCTGTGTCACACTGGGATACCTCAGTCCCTGCCACCTTAGTGTGTCACCCTTGGATACCAGCCTCCCTGCCACCTGAGTCTCTGACACCCTGGGATACCACGCTCCTTGTCACATGAGTGTGTCACCCTGGGATACCTCCCTCCCTGCCACCTGAGTGCGTCACTCTGGGATACCGCCCTCCTTCTCACATGAGTGTGTAACCCTGGGATACAACCCTCCCTGCAACCTGAGTGTGTCATCCTGGGATACAACCCTCCCTGCTAACTGAGTCTGTGTCACCATGGGATACCACACTTCATGCCACCTGAGTATGTGTCACCCTGGGTTGCCTCCCTCCCTGCCGCCTGCGTGTGTCAATCTGGGAAACCACCCTCCATGCCACCTGTCTGTGTTACCCTGGGATACCACCCTCCCAGCCAACTGACTCTGTGTCACTCTGGGATACTACCCTCCCTGTCACCTGAGTGTGTCACCCAGGGATACAACCCTCCATGCCACCTGTTTGAGTCACCCTGGGAAACAACCATCCCTGCCACCTGAACTTGTATCACCCTGGGATACAACCTTCCCTGCCACGTGATAATGTAACCCTGGGACACCACCCTCCCTGCCACCTGAGTGTTTCACCCTGGAATACCACCCTCCCTACAACCTGAGTCTGTGTCACCCTGGGATACTTCACTTCCACCTAAATGTGTCACCCTGGGATACCACCACCCCTGCCTCCTGAGTGTGTCATCCTAGGATACCACCCTCCCTGCCACCTGAGTGTGTAACCCTGGGATACCACCCTCCCTTCCACCAGTGTCTGTGCCACCCTGGGATACCACCATCCCTGCCACCTGAGTCTGTGTCACCCTGGGATACCACCCTCCCTGCCACCTGAGTGTGTCACCCTGGGATACCACCCTCCATGCCAAATGAGTCTGTGTCACCCTGGGATACCTCCCTCGATGCCACCTGAGTCTGTGTCACCCTGGGATACCTCCCTCCATGCCACCTTAGTGTGTCACCCTGAGATACCACCCTCCCTGCCACCTGAGTCATTGTCACCCTGGGATACCACCATCCCTTCCACCTGAGTCTGTATCACCAGGGATACCACCCTCCCTGCCACTTCAGTCTGTGTCACCTTGGGATACCACCCTCTCTGCCACCTGAGTCTGCGTCACCCAGGGATACCAGACTCCCTGCCACCTGAGTGTGTGAAACCCTGGGATACCACCCTCCCTGTCACCTGAGTGTGTCACCCTGGGATACCACCCACCCTGCCACCTGAATCTGTGTCACAATGGGATGCTTCCCTCTCTGCCACCCGACTGTGTCACCCTGGGATACCACTCTCCCTGCCACCTCAGTATGTGTCATCCAGAGATACCGCCCTCCCTGTCCACCAGTGTGTGTCATCCCGGGATACCATCTTCCCTGCCACCTGAGTCTGTGTCACCCTGGGATACCACCCTCCCTGCCACATGAGTGTGTCACCCTGGGATGCCCCCCTCCCTGCCACCTGTGTTCTTGTCACCCTTGGATACCACCCTCCCTGCCACCTGAATCTGTGTCACCCTGGGATGCCACCCTCCCTGCCACATGAGTGTGTCACCCTGGGATGCCCCCCTCCCTGCCACCTGTGTCCGTGCCACCCTAGGATACCACCCTCCCTACCACCTGAGTCTGTGTCACACTGGGATACCTCGGTCCCTGACACCTTAGTGTGTCACCCTTGGATACCAGCCTCCCTGCCACCTGAGTCTCTGACACCCTGGGATACCACGCTCCTTGTCACTTGAGTGTGTCACCCTAGGATACCTCCCTCCCTGCCACCTGAGTGCCTCACCCTGGGATACCGCCCTCCTTCTCACATGAGTGTGTAACCCTGGGATACAACCCGCCCTGCAACCTGAGTGTGTCATCCTAGGATACAACCCTCCCTGCCACCTGAGTATGTGTCACCATGGGATACCACACTTCATGCCACCTGAGTATATGTCACCCTGAGTTGCCTCCCTCCCTGCCGCCTTCGTGTGTCAATCTGGGATACCACCCTCCATGCCACCTGTCTGTGTTACCCTGGGATACCACCCTCCCAGCCAACTGACTCTGTGTCACTCTGGGATACTACCCTCCCTCCTACCTGAGTGTGTCACGCTGGGATACCACCCTCCCTGTCACGAGAGTGTGTCACCCAGGGATACAACCCTCCCTGCCACCTGTTTGAGTCACCCTGGGGAACAACCCTCCCTCCCACCTGAACCTGTATCACCCTGGCATACAACCTTCCCTGCCACGTGAGAGTGTACCCCTGGGACACCACCCTCCCTGCCACCTGAGTGTTTCACCCTGGAATACCACCCTCCCTACAACCTGAGTCTGTGTCACCCTGGGATACCACCCCCCTTCCACCTAAATGTGTCACCCTGGGATACCACCCTCCCTGCCACCTGAGTGTGCCACCCTAGGATGCCACCCTCCCTGCCACCTGAGTGTGTAACCCTGGGATACCACCCTCCCTTCCACCAGTGTCTGTGCCACCCTGGGATACCACCACCCCTGCCTCCTGAGTGTGTCACCCTAGGATACCACCCTTCCTGCCACCTGATTGTGTAACCCTGGGATACCACCCTCCCTTCCACCAGTGTCTGTGACACCCTGGGATACCACCATCTCTGCCACCTGAGTCTTTGTCACCCTGGGATAGCACACTCCCTGCCACCTGAGTCTGTGTCACCCTGGGATTCCACCCTCTCTGCCATCTGAGTGTGTCACTCTTGGATACCTCCCTCCCTGCCACCTGAGTACGTCACTCTAGGATACCACCCTCCATGCCTTCTGAGTGTGTCACTCTGGGATACTACCCTCCCTCCCACCTGAGTCTGTGTCACCCTGGGATACCACCCTCCCTGCCACATAATTCTGTGTCACCCTTGGATTCCACCCTCCCTGCAACCTCAGTGTGTCACCCTGGGATACCACCCTCCCTGCCACCTGAGTGTGTCACCCTGGGATTCCTCCCTCCCTGCTACCTGGGTGTGTCACCCTGAAATACCACCCTCCCTGCCACCTGTGTGAGCCGCCCTGGGATTCCTCCCTCCCTGCCACCTGAGTGTCTTACCCTAGGATACCACCCTCCCTGACACCTGAGTCTATGTCACCCTGGGATACCACCCTCCCTGAAACACGAGTGTGTCAACCTGAGATACCACCCTTCCTGCCAC